CACACACACACACACACACACACACACACACACACACACTGAGGGGGGAGAAACTGAGACACATCTATACCAATACATGCACAAGACACAGCAGATAAGAGGCAAAAACTTGTTTTAACACCTTCAAATTTCACAGCTCCTCACCAAATTCTGGAAACCAAAGACAATAAGAAGGCTAAAATACAAGATAAAGATATCAACTACTCCAGGAAAGTCCTCACGTTTCATAGCACTTGACCAATATAATGGCTAATACAGGATTTTTGGTGTGTGTGTGCGTGCATGTGTGCACACGGGTGTGTTTTATTTGGTTAAAGTTTATTGTTTGTTTTTCTTTTTCTTGTTTGGGTGTTGCTTTATTTTGTTTTCTTGGTTTTGGAGAAAATAGTCATTATGTTGTGTTTTTAGTTTTTAATCTGAGAAAGAACTTAAAGTTGAATGGATAGGGAGGGGGAGAGGATCTGGAAGGACTTGGGGGAGGGAAAGAATATGGTTAAAATATATTTAAATTAAAAAATTATTTAAATAATAAAGACATGATAAGAAAATGTAGAATAAAATATTACGTGTGTGAGTTATGGAAGACGTTTTAAACCCCAGAAACCCAATTGGTAAAAAGAAAATGGAAGTGAGACTAGAAAAAGGTGGGGATGGGCAGAGTGGATCCTAACGGTTTGTCAAGAGGAAGACGCTCTGGCTAACTACTGCACAGACCGGGGTAAGAGTGTATCGTATATCCACAAAGCAAGAGGAAAAGTTGTCGAATTGTTCATCATAAAGAAATGCTAAATATTTGAAGAGATGGATGTGTTTGAATTGGTTTAAACAGTACAAGATGTATGCAGGTATGGGCACATCAGATGGTACACTGTAAGTGTGTACAGTCATCATGTTTACGTGTCATTTAAAAATAAGTGAATCAAAACAAGATCAAAATAAAAAAAAGATCAGTGATCATATAGAGGACTCCAATGGATGGATGAAATAAGAACCCCTGTTACAGGCCTAGCTGAGAAAGGTAACAATATGGATGAAATGGCCCAATCTTTAGAGGAAACATCCGATGACATGAAGTTAAGACTAAACAAAGAAATTGAGCCAAGAATAGAACCAAATAGAAATACTGGAAATAAAAGTATCAATCAGTTCAACAAAAAGCACAGTGGTAAGCATCGGCAAATGAATGAATTTGGGGGGGGGATAAAAGATAGGATAAGTTGAGGCAATATTCAATTCAACCCTGTCCTATCTATACTAATCTGTATTTATATCTGTATCTGTAACCTCTGCACTGGTATGGAGTGGTGACAGAGGCAACAGATCCTGGTGAATAGCTGGACATCCAGTGCTGTGGAATATTTCTTTATACTTTGTGAGTACATGTCACGGTGATGGGTTTAATAAACAAGCTGACTAGCCAATAGCTGAACAAGACAAAGTTAGGTGGGAAAACCAAACTGAGAATGTTGGAGAGAAGAAGGGCAGAGTCAAGGGGGATTCCAGCCAGCCACCAAGCAAGTAGGGCATGTAGAAAATGAGGTAACAAGCCATGAGCCATCTGACAAAGCATAAATAGGAATATGGGTAATTTAAATGTAAGAGTCAGCTAGTAATAAGCCTGAGCTATTGGGCACACATTTATAAATAATATTAAGTCCCTGTGCCGGGACAGGGAATGGGCAGTTGGGACAGGAAAACTGTGCCCTACTATCCAGTCTAGGAATAATGAACTTCAAGTTCAGTGAGAGACCCTGTCCCCATCCCCCAAAATAAAGTGGAGAGTGATAGTTGAAAACTTTCAAAGTTGTTATCTGGCATTCAAGCATGCATACACAACCAAGTGCATCCCCATGGACACACATTCATTCATACATACATATATACATATGTACATACATACAGAGAGAGGGGTGAGTGACAGAATAATAATATGACCTAAGTTCAAGAACTTAAATATATTCAAGAAACAAAACCCCAATAATCCATGGTATAGAAAGGTAAGTACCGAAAATCTAATAGCATAGACAATGTATTTAGTGATACTGCAGTAATTTTCTTAACTCAGCGAAAGAAACAATTTCTAAATTCAAATATGAGAGACATTTATGTCATAGTAAACAGGTTAATTTTACATGGATGGCTTAGTTTTTGAAAATTAGCCTAGTTCCACACAGCAGACATGCCCTTTCAAGACACACATATTAATTGATAAACAACATGTAGCTTTCCCACATAGTAGACATTACTGGCCACAGCAAGAAACAAAGTACTGAGACAGAAAAATGTGGGTAGCTCTCCAAAGCATTAGTTTGAATAAAAGAAGCAAGGCATAAACTGTCATATGCTGTATGATTCCATTGATGGAGAGCATCCACAATTGTCAAATTTATAACAAAAGAAAGGTTTGTGGCTGTCAGGATCTGGGGAAAAAAGAATGTGGGTGATTACTGCCTGGTGAGTACAGAACCTCCTTCTGTGATAATAGACGTGTTTTGTGGAACTTGGCGGGGGTCGTTGTTCAACATTCTGATTGTATTAAATGATACTGACTTATGAAACTAAATGTGCTTAACTGTACATTATGTGAGATTTAACTCCAAAGTTTTAAGCTGTATATTTTATTTCCATAAAATTAAAACCTATGAGGTATCATGAGAGATTGGTTAACTTGCCTCAAACTAGAGGATTTGATTTGAGCATTTTCAGAAGAATTTAATTGAGAATGGAAAATCCACATTGAGTGTTGGCAGCATGATCTCACGCACTGAGTTCTCTCAGTGAATAAAAATGCAAAACAGGTGAAAGTAAGTCTACTAAGCTCCAGAATTAGTCCCTTTGTCTCCTGATTTTCAGACACAATGTAACCAGCCACCCCAAGACCTTTCCCTGGGTCACAACTCCACCATGTGAAAATTAATTGATCGTCAATGTGCTTTGCTCTTTCCACCCAACCCAGGAAAACAAGACATCAATGTAGGCAGGAGAATAGGCGTTTATTATTGGAATGTTCCATAATGATAACTGAAGAATTATATTAGGAGAGACATCTCATGGATCTGTAACTTCTGTCTCTTCAAGAACACACACGTTTACCTAAAAACTGAGGTGGAAAAAAACGTTAGAATGAATGTCTCAGTCTTCTCTACCGCCCCCAGATCAATATCACATGTGTCTCCTTCCTTAATGGTCTTTTTTTTTTCTTTCTAAGGAGCGGTCAGAATAGCATGAATCCATGGGGCAGGAGATGTGGCTTAAGAAGACTACATGCATTCCTGATCATAAAAACTGAATATACATTATTTTTATAACAAAATAACTTGCGCAGTACACTGTTTGAAAGACATTTAATTCAATGTTCAGTTAAGTTTGTTTTAATCAGAAATCTCATCTGTGGATTCAACCCGTGGTGACAAAGGGGAAAGCAGATTCAATTATATTTTAAAGGCCCCCAAATTGTGTGTGTCTGTGTAGATGCGTGGGAAGATACAAACACCTGTGGAAGGGAGTTCCAGGGGAGGAGAACATAAAGAATGCTGACG